TCAATGGGGGACGAAACATCTCATATGTGGACGAAACATCTCATATGTGGACGAAACATCTCATATGTGGGACGAAACATCTCAAATGTGGGACGAATCATCTCAAATGGGGGACGAAACATCTCATATGTGGACGAGACATCTCAAATGGGGACGAAACATCTCATATGTGGGACGAAACATCTCAAATGTGGGACGAAACATCTCAATTGTGGACGAAACATCTCAAATATGGACGAAACATCTCAAATGTGGGACGAAACATCTCAAATGTAGACGAAACATCTCAAATGTAGACGAAACATCTCAAATGTGGGACGAAACATCTCAAATGTGGGACGAATCATCTCAAATGTGGACGAAACATCTCAAATGTGGGACGAAACATCTCATATGTGGGACGAAACATCTCAAATGTGGGACGAATCATCTCAAATGTGGGACGAAACGTCTCAAATGTGGGACGAATCATCTCAAATGTGGGACGAAACATCTCAAATGTGGGACGAATCATCTCATATGTGGGACGAATCATGTCAAATGGGGGTCGAAACATCTCATATGTGGGACGAAACATCTCAAATGGGGGACGAAACATCTCAAATGTTGGACGAAACATCTCAAATGGGGGACAAAACTCTTCAATAAATTGCATACAGTGCAGATTATCTTAATTCACATGGACGTGTAGGACTGTCACCCAAGCTTTTACCCCTTCTTTATTTACCTCTTACCCCTTCTTAATTTTACCTCTTCTTAATTTACGAGGCTCCTGTGATATACCTGTGATGAGTTCCAAGGGTGGTGCTCTCTCAGGCCGCCCTGATGCTAGGCTTCCTGATTACTTTCCAGTGTGTGTCTAGTTGTTATCCCTGCAGTGTTTTCTTTCCAGTTCTGGAGGCCTTGTCTGAGACCGAGCCTTGAGGGGCGGTGGTTTTCAACATTTATTAAAAAACTAAATAACCTTTGCCAACCTTCTCTTAGAATGTTAGTCTGGATAACACACATATGACCTTTGTCCTTGAAAACGTCAGCAGAGGCCACGTATAATGATTAACATTCACAGCTCTTCATCCACTTTCATCATTCACATCTATACACAACCCACACATGGGAGAGAGAGAGAAGCTTAGGACGACGTTTCGGTCAGTCTAGAACCATTCCCAAGTCTCACTGACCGTGTGACTTGTGAATTGTCGTAGACGGACCGAAACGTCGTCTTTATTTTTCTCTCTTACCTGCGGGTTATTTGTGTATTGTTCCAGTCACGGTATTGTGCCTTTTTTGTTCTTGAACAATCACACCTGTTCTTCAAGACGATCTTTCAGAAGTTCACTAAAATACAAGTCACTTGGGTGTTTGCTGTCTTGCGTAAGTTCTAGTTGTGGGTTTTACCTTATACATTCCGTGGGTCCTGTCTCAGACCAGACCTGGTTGATGCAGCGGATACGCTGTTGGTTCTCGCAACATGCATTCTTCTGGGTATCTTTATCGAGGAAACGTTTCGTCAGACAGTTGCTTCATTGGTCCTATACAAAGAAGAATGGTGAATATCAGAAGGAGTCTGAGGTAATCAGTCTCTCGGCCTGGAGTTGATGTGGTCAGTCCATCAATCTTTTCAAGATTGATGGACTGATTAACTCGAACTCCTGCTGACCTTCATTATTCTTTGTATAGGACTGATGAAGCCACTGTGTGACGAAACGTCTTCTCAGTAAAGATACCAAAGTGTTGCATATGTGTCTAATTTATCAACAAGTCGGTTCTCTGAACCATTTATCTACATTCTTGTTTCAAGTATTCCAACCTTGAGTTGCTACACTTGGCCGCTGTTGAAGTTCGTTATCTCTGAATTGAATGAAACACGTCAATGAGGTATGGAAATTTTTCATATGACAATGATTCACTTGATTTACAAGCTTCTTTTGGTTTTGAACTTGACACCTACGATCAGGCTGGTGATAGTGTATGGTGGTGTATTCTGACGTGATAGTGTATGGTGGTTTGTATTAATGTGATACTGTATGGTGGTGTGTATGTGATGGTGTATGGTGTGTGTGTGATAGTGTATGGTGTATTCTTACGTGACATTGTTTGGTGGTGTGTATGTATTTGTACATAATGGTGTATGGTGTGTAATTGTGTGATAGTGTATGGTGGTGTATACTTTCGTGATGGTGCAGGGTGATTTCTAGTCTACTGAGCCCTCTAATATCGTAAAATTGTGTACGTGTTGGCCTCCAACACTTTCACGTGCCTTTTATTCCAATTTTCCTCTACCCCAAGACACAAAAAGTAGTTTGGTACCGCAACAGTGACTCATGCGATGTGATGAAGGATGAAGGAAGGGGAGGATGTTGACGCAGCGGTGGTTGGGCAGAGCGAGTGTGTTGACGGAATAAAATAGACGGCGGCAGTGGTAGTGGTGTCAAATGTGGGAGCAGTGGCAAGAGTGGCACCAAGCTGTCAGGGAGAGTGATGGAGTAAGGGAAAGGTTGGAAGGGAGAGGGGCATCAAGCTGCCAGGGAGAGTGATGGAAAGGGTGGGAGGGAGGTGCCGAATGTTGGAGTAGGGGTTAGAGGGTGGCACCAAGCTGCCAGGGTTAGTGATGGAAGGGAAGGGAGTCGCGAGGACAACATCACTTTCCGCCAATATGGAAGTTGACATGGCTAGTTAACTGGTGAAGAAAGTATCGTGTAGTGGCTTGTGTGTGTGTGAAAGATAGTTCATGTGTTGGTCCCATTATAAGATTAAAGGTTTTGGTGAGTTCATAGTTTTGGTACTCTTACTCGCCTAGAGTTGAGGCTCGGCTCCTGACCCACAGCCCAGACTATTTTGATCTGAATCATTGATTCCTGTCCTCTTGGGCCATATCATATACTATTATCTTGAAGCTGCTTATTAACTTTGCCTGGACCACTGCTTCATCCAAGTCACTCTACTTACAGGCCGCTGCACTGCGGCCTGTACACTGCTAGACAGAACCATCAGTGTACGCATGATGTTCACTGCTAGACAGAACCATCAGTGTACGCATGATCACTGCTAGACAGAACCATCAGTGTACGCATGATGTTCACTGAACAGTATGATGTGTACGTGCTTAACAGTGGTTACCTTCACTGTTGTCTTAACTAGCTGTTGATTTTCAGTGTGCAGGAAGTGTAGACACCAGACACAACTCTACGGTGTGCACCAGCCGGGTTTTGTTTACCTATTTCTTGGCTACCTCCACACTTTGTGTCATGGAATATTATTATTATTATTTATTTATTATTTTTTTAACACATTGGCCGTCTCCCACTGAGGTAGGTTGACCCGAGAAAGAAACATTCACCATCATTCACACTATCACTGTTTTGCCAGAGACGCGGATACGACAGTTCAGGTGATCCTCCTAACAGCACATATCCCCACCCCTCCTTTAGAGTCCAGGCATTGTACTTCCCACCGCCAGGACTCAAGTCCGGCTAACAGGTTTCCCTGAATCCCTTCGTAAATGTAACACAGCTCACACTCCAACAGCTCGTCAGGTTCCAAAAACCATTTCCTCCACTCCTGTCTAACACGCTCTAACACTGGCTCTAAGCAGGAGTTTACTGGCAGGGTTGCATCTACTATTATTGCCACGCTATTGGTTAACAACTAGATCAACCACGTTAAACTAGACATAAGAGTTAACTGGGCATCTACACTGCAAATTTAATTATTTGCCATCGTAATGGCGTTTAAAGTTGAGCTTAACTCATTGATTACTACGATCCTGTCCATCACTGAAGGCACTCGACTCACGTAATCACGCTAACAATATGCTCCTTGGAGAACCATGTATAGCTAATAAAAAAAACACGAGAAATAGTAATTAATGTTCATTTTTTATTAATTTCATCACACTGAATTATTCTTTCATGATAAAACCGAAGTTTGCCAAAGAAAGTTCCCTGAAGTAAAAATGTAGACTATATCACATATTTTATGTATTTGTCTGCCATTAGGAATAGTATCAAGAGAGAAGCAATTAATGAAACTGTCATAGAAATACAGTTGGAAGCCTGAGATCTCTCACTATAATAACGCGAATGTAGACATGTAGGTCTACAGAACTACTTGCAATGTCAATAGGCTGACTGATGTTGTAGTAGCCAGGCTTAGGTTTGATTGCTAGTACTTCTGGCAGTTTGGCAGACATACAGATGATGATTATCAAAAATGCAAAATATGTGGGCACCTTTATGGTCACTTTCTTGAACCTTGTGCTTAATTGTCCACTTATTGAGGGATATAGAGATAGTATAAAAACCTGTGAGATATTTCAAGGTAAGTTAATGAAAATAAGATACCAGATATATTAACCAAATATCCTAAATTTGCTTCCAACAGATTAGAAAATTACAGATAAAAATCCAGATGTACTCCTGTTAACCCCGTTGGGATCTAGTTCCTGGGCTTTTTGTATACCCATATACATTGTGTACCTCATACCCACAGGATGGGCATGAGGTACACAAACTAGCTACTTCGACGACATACTCTAAGATATTTTATTGAGTAAACATTCCTCTTAATTGATGTCAGCCAGCTTGATTGATGCCTGGCCTACACGACCCAATCATACCTACCCTAAAACTGTGTATAGTGTGTGTCTCCACCACATTTCATCAATGTCTTGAGCAATTGTGACACATTTATTGCCCTGTCTCCCCTCCTCTCTTCTCGTTTGGCTTTTTCAGTTGTCCTCTATTATTTCCCTGCACTTCTTTTTCTCTCCTCCCCAACTTCCCTTGTCTCCCCGGCTTCTCTTGTCTCCCCGGCTTCTCTTGTCTCCCCGGCTTCTCTTGTCTCCCCGGCTTCTCTTGTCTCCCCGGCTTCTCTTGTCTCCCCGGCTTCTCTTGTCTCCCCGGCTTCTCTTGTCTCCCCGGCTTCTCTTGTCTCCCCGGCTTCTCTTGTCTCCCCGACTTCTCTTGTCTCCCCGACTTCCATTAACTCTGCACTTGTTTCAGAAGATGAAGACGAAGAGGACGTTAGCGACTCCGGAGTGGACGACGTATCCAACACACAGAAGGTGCTGACGGCGAAACTTGAGGACCTACGCACGTGCCACGACCTTATCATCAAGCATGGAGCGGCGCTGCAGAAGTCACTGGGGGAACTGGAAGCCATCGACAACACCCACGACCTCACCGCTAAGACTAAGACCGTCAACGAGAGGGCGACGCTCTTCAGGATCTCTTCCAACGCCATGATTAACGTTAGTACTTCCTCTCCTCACTCTTGTAATCTCTGATTAAAGTTTTAACACCAGCTGTTTCCTCGCAAGGTGACTCGTTGAAGGAAGTACATTCACCATCATTCACTCTACACGGACGTCATTATTTGAATGAACTTATAAACGGCAACACCTCCAACCATTTTTTTAATGTATAGATATAGTATTAAGTAATAATTATATATTTTACATCACTATTTATAGTTTAAAAAGTAGATTTATGCTCATGGTTCCGGGGATACCCGGACGAGGATGTGCTTTCGTAACCGTTTTAACCATTTGATGTATTTATAATTGGGATAGTCTAACAGCGTGAGAGCTCTCTTGTATTATTGTAGATTTGTTGGTGGGATTAATTTTTTTGAATTGCAGGGTTAATTTTTTTTTTTTTTTTTTTTTTTTTTGTGTGTGTGTGTGTGTGTGTGTGTGTGTGTGTGTGTGTGTGTGTATAGAACTCCTGACCTTGCTTCTTAACATTCTGTCCACTGTGGTATTTAGTTTGTAATCTGGATTTTTATAATGTCAGTAGTGTATTCACAAATTTGTTTTAGTGGCGTTGTCTTGGTTATTTTCAGCGCCTCTTGAGCTTCATCGTCCATTATTACTGTTTGTAGACTCTTGAATTAGTGTGTCATTTGCCTCAGAGTTGCCAATACCAGTTTGTACTACTTCCCTGAGACAAAAAATACTTCATAACTTCCCTGTGTCTTGTGTGATTTATAGTTTCCGTCTATGTTCTCATATTCTTGTTCCTCGCATTTCAAACAGTTTAGTTCTATTTGCCGTATCATTTCCTCTTAGTATTTTGTATGTCATACTCATGTCTCTTTAGTCTTCCTCTCTCCCAGAGTTGTCAGGTTCAGCTTCAGTCTCTCGTGCACAGCCCTCAGCACTAGCCTGGACTTGTTACATATTTTTGGAGCTTTTCTAGTTTCTGGATATGCTCAAATTTTAGTTCTACGCCGGTGCTCTACATGCTGACGTGTCCCTGAGGTGGTTGATGCATCATCCTCAGTCATTCAATATTGAGGGTCTTGAGGGGAATTCCAGGAATACTGTGTAGATCTCGTGACACATTGTTACAGTAATTGGCACTGCTGGCACTTAGTGAGTGCTGTCCTAAGTGTTGGTACTTCAGTGTATGGTGTTGCGGTAGTGGGTTTGTTGTGGGTGTGGGTGCTTGTAGGAGTGACTGTCTGGCCGCGTATGATGTGGCCTCCGTGGTGAAGGTTGAATCACGGAGGCAGGAGCTGGTTCACCTCCAGCTTTCTCTCACCCCGTTAACCCTCAACCTTCCCTAGGACCTGCAGTGTGTGTGTGTGTGTGTGTGTGTGTGTGTACTCACCTAATTGTGGTTGCAGGGGTCGAGACTCGGCTCCTGGACCCGCCTCTTCACTGAACGCTACTAGGTCCTCTCTCTCCCTGCTCCCTGAGCTTTATCATACCTCATCTTAAAGCTATGTATGGGTCCTACCTCCACTACATCACTCGCTATACTGCTCCACTTCCTGACGACTCTGACTGAAGGAATACTTCCTAACATCCCTGTGACTCATTTGAGTCTTCACTTCCAAGAGTGGCCCCTCGTTTCTGTGTCTCCTCTCTGGAACATCTTGCCTCTGTCCACCTTGTCTGTTCCATGCAGTATTTTGTATGTCGTTATCATGTCTCCCCTAACCCTCCTGTCCTCCAGTGTCGTCAGGCCGATTTCCCTTAACCTTTCTTCGTGGGACATTCCCCTTAGCTCTGTAACTAACCTTGTCTCAAACCTTTGCCCTTTCTCTAATTTCTTGACGCGCTTGATTAAGTGTGGGTTTCAAACTGGTGCTGCATACTCTAGTATGGCGATGACGTACCCGGTGTACAGTGTCGTGTGTGTGTGTGTGTGTGTGTGTGTGTGTGTGTGTGTGTGTGTGTGTGTGTGTGTGTGTGTGTGTGTGTGTCTGTCTGTCTGTCTGTCTGCCGCTAGCTTGCTACGAGAAAACTACAAGTAAGTGTTTAGTACTCTGCTCTTGGCTCCTCGGAGAAAGACAGTAGGGAGGAGCGGAAAAAGACAAATAAGAAAGAGACATAGGCCATTAGGTCTACTGCAGTGTTCCTTTTATAAGGAAAATTATCCAAACTAGAATGAGGGGGCGTGGAAAGGAAGGAGATAATGTTAGTCGTGGAAAGAGAGAGAGAATGTAGGACGTGGGAAGAGAGTAGAGGAGATATGGAAGGTGGTAGGAAAAAAATCAGGAAGATGGATGGTAGGATGTGGAGAGAGTGGAGGATGAAACAAGGAAATGCGTGGAAGGAGACAGGAAGAAGACGGAAGTGAAAGTCAGGAAAACAACTGAGAGTTGTTTATCAGGGCTGAGATCTTTGATGCCCAGAGGAAATATTACCATGACCCCCTACATGCAGGGGTGGGACGTTACCCACACTTCAGGTATACCTCTCAGGGGCGGGACGTTACCCACACTTCAGGTATACCGCTCAGGAGCGGGACGTTACCCACACTTCAGGTATACCTCTCAGGGGCGGGACGTTACCCACACTTCAGGTATACCTCTCAGGAGCGGGACGTTACCCACACTTCAGGTATACCGCTCAGGAGCGGGACGTTACCCACACTTCAGGTATACCTCTCAGGGGCGGGACGTTCAGGTATACCTCTCAGGGGCGGGACGTTACCCACACTTCAGGTATACCGCTCAGGAGCGGGACGTTACCCACACTTCAGGTATATCTCTCAGGGGCGGGACGTTACCCCACACTTCAGGTATACCTCTCAGGGGCGGGACGTTACCCACACTCCAGGTATACTTCTCAGGGGCGGGACATTACCCACACTCCAGGTATACCTCTCCGGGACGGGAATACGTTACCCTAACTCCTGGTATACCTCTCAGGGACGGGTAGATGTTGTCCTCACTCTAGGTATACCTCCCAGGGCCGGCGAGACGTTACCCTCACCCCAGGTATACCTCTCAGGGACGTTACCCACACTCCAGGTATACCTCTCAGGTACGGGGAGACGTTACCCTCACTGCACGTATACCTCTCGGGGAGGGCGATACGTTACCCTCACTGCAGGTATACCTCTCAGGGACGGGGAAACGTTACCTTCACTGGAGGTATACCTCTCAAGGACGGGAAGACGTTACCCTAACTCCTGGTATACCTCTCAGGGACGGGTAGATGTTGTCCTCACTCTAGGTATACCTCCCAGGGCCGGCGAGACGTTACCCTCACCCCAGGTATACCTCTCAGGGACGTTACCCACACTCCAGGTATACCTCTCAGGTACGGGGAGACGTTACCCTCACTGCACGTATACCTCTCGGGGAGGGCGATACGTTACCCTCACTGCAGGTATACCTCTCAGGGACGGGGAAACGTTACCCTCACTCCAGGTATACCTGTCAGGGACAGGGAAATGTTACCCTCACTGGAGGTATACCTCTCAAGGACGGGAAGACGTTACCCTCACTCCAGGTATACCTCTCAAGGACGGGAAGACGTTACCCTCACTCCAGGTATACCTGTCAGGGACGGGGAAACGTTACCCTCACTGGAGGTATACCTCTCAAGGACGGGAAGACGTTACCCTCACTCCAGGTATACCTCTCAAGGACGGGAAGACGTTACCCTCACTCCAGGTATACCTGTCAGGGACAGGGAAACGTTACCCTCACTGGAGGTATACCTCTCAAGGACGGGAAGACGTTACCCTCACTGGAGGTATACCTCTCAAGGACGGGAAGACGTTACCCTCACTGGAGGTATACCTCTCAAGGACGGGAAGACGTTACCCTCACTGGAGGTATACCTCTCAAGGACGGGAAGACGTTACCCTCACTGGAGGTATATCTCTCAAGGACGGGAAGACGTTACCCCTCACTCCAGGTATACCTCTCAAGGACGGGAAGACGTTACCCCTCACTCCAGGTATACCTCTCAAGGACGGGAAGACGTTACCCCTCACTGGAGGTATACCTCTCAAGGACGGGAAGACGTTACCCTCACTGGAGGTATATCTCTCAAGGACGGGAAGACGTTACCCCTCACTCCAGGTATACCTCTCAAGGACGGGAAGACGTTACCCCTCACTCCAGGTATACCTCTCAAGGACGGGAAGACGTTACCCCTCACTCCAGGTATACCTCTCATATATCTTGTCACAGGTTTCAGGAGCTTTTTCTATTTTTCCTCCAGGCAGCACTGCCTTTGGTCAGGCTTCCTTATCGAGCGCCAGGTCAAGCAGACTGTTGCTGTTAACAGCACGCTAACCAGGATTGAAATTAATGTATGGTTGATTTGTCACTTGGCGGCTGCAGTAGTCCAGCATTCTTTTAAAGACTTTTGCATTTGTTTTAGAAATAATAATATCTGCTGGTAGCAGGTTGAAAATCTTGGGTCAAGGATGTTGATAGTTTTCTCTTGTTGTGCTGATGGGAGACTCAACTTTTAATCGAATTTATTTTGCACTTCCTCTAACTTTTCTCACTCTAGTAAGTTACGCGGTGTTAGTTGTGGTAGCACAAATTCGGGACAGGTTCCTCCGATATCTTCCAGGTATATGTTATGAGGTATCTTTCAACCTTTCTCCAGAGAGCAAATTTCGGCTACTTTAAGGCGATTCCAGTAGTTTCAAATGTTTTATTGGGTGTTCAGGCAGGAAGCTATCTTTGCACATTTTCCGGCCCTAATATCTCTTTGACTTGAAGGAAACTGAGCAAAGGACGATATTCTATACTTGAGAGCTCAAGTGATTTAAGTTGTTCTGTCATTGGCGTTATTTCTCTTGTTTTTGAAGTTTGCATGATCCACTCCATCAACTTTCTGGTCTTCGATACATTTATTTAGTTGTGTCCGGTAAATGACTCTACCAGGTTATCGTCAAGTAAATCTAAATAATGTTCTGTATAACAAAAAAAAAAAAAAAGCACAATACCGTGACTGGAACGATACAGTGTGACTTTGTAAATGTTCTGTAT